CAAACAGAGCTGCCCTTCAGGCCTACTACAGAATTATTGATAAGCAATATTACGAGCTATGACAGTGTCCTTCTGGTCCTTTTTTTTTAGATTGTGTTTTCCTCTGTCACCCAGGCCTGTCTCTTATACACATCTAGATGTGTATAAGAGACAGGGACGTGACGGTGGAGCGCTTGTTGTAGTGCGCCAGGCGGGACGCCTCTCCCGCGATGCGCTCGAAAATGTCGTTGACGAAGGAGTTCATGATGCCCATGGCCTTGGACGAGATGCCGGTGTCGGGGTGGACCTGCTTCAGCACCTTGTACACGTAGATGGAGTAGCTCTCCTTGCGGCTGCGCTTGCGCTTCTTGCCGTCTTTCTTCTGGGCTTTGGTGACGGCTTTCTTGGAGCCCTTTTTAGGAGCCGGAGCGGATTTTGCCGGTTCAGGCATGGTAAGACACAGAACAAACGCGGCTTAGCCAAGAAAAGAAGTAAGAGAATGGGCGGGCCTGATTCTTTTATAACCACCTTATGCAAATTAGGGCTCCGAAAGTCATTCATTTCCATTGGTCCGTGTGCGGACCTTGCGTTTTCAGCAATGCGTACGCAACAACACCGACTCTTGACTTGATTGGCCGGTTCTGAAGCCATATTAGGACCAATGAAAAACTCGTTCTAGACCCCACCCCTAGGAAAGCTTATAAAGGCTTTCCTCTTGGTTCTCTTTCAAGCTTATTTTGTAGCGAGGTTCTGAGCATTGTCTGTGTTTAACCTTGACTTCAGTCATGTCTGGTCGTGGCAAACAAGGAGGCAAGGCTCGCGCCAAGGCCAAGTCGCGCTCGTCCCGCGCCGGCCTCCAGTTCCCAGTAGGGCGAGTGCACCGCTTGCTGCGCAAAGGCAACTACGCGGAGCGGGTGGGGGCCTGTCTCTTATACACATCTTCGCGCTCGTCCCGCGCCGGCCTCCAGTTCCCAGTAGGGCGAGTGCACCGCTTGCTGCGCAAAGGCAACTACGCGGAGCGGGTGGGGGCTGGCGCGCCAGTCTACATGGCGGCGGTCCTCGAGTACCTGACCGCCGAGATCCTGGAGCTGGCGGGCAACGCGGCTCGGGACAACAAGAAGACGCGCATCATCCCTCGTCACCTCCAGCTGGCCATCCGCAACGACGAGGAACTGAACAAGCTGCTGGGCAAAGTCACCATCGCCCAGGGCGGCGTTTTGCCTAACATCCAGGCCGTTCTGTTACCAAAGAAAACTGAAAGCCACAAAGCCAAAAGCAAATAAATGCAGACAAACAAACCAAAGACCAAAGGCTCTTTTTAGAGCCACCCAAGTTTTCAAAAAAAGAGCTAATGCGCTATTTCGTGATCAGCCCTTCATTTGACACTTTGGTGGCTCTTAAAAGAGCCTTTGGGGTGAATGAGTATGGTGTCAAGCCTCTTAATTACTTGTTCTTGCCAGGCTTGTGACTCTCCGTTTTCTTGGGCAACAGGACAGCCTGGATATTGGGTAAGACGCCGCCCTGGGCAATGGTGACACCCCCGAGTAACTTGTTGAGCTCTTCGTCATTCCTCACGGCTAGTTGCAGATGGCGAGGGATGATGCGCGTCTTCTTGTTGTCCCGAGCCGCGTTGCCCGCTAGCTCCAGAATTTCCGCGGTCAGGTACTCGAGGACCGCCGCCAGGTACACCGGGGCGCCTGCCCCCACCCGTTCCGCGTAGTTGCCCTTGCGCAGCAAGCGGTGCACTCGCCCCACCGGGAACTGGAGGCCAGCGCGGGACGAGCGCGACTTGGCCTTAGCGCGGGCCTTGCCTCCCTGCTTTCCGCGTCCTGACATTACGGCTAAAATTGCAGTTACAGCTTCTTTTACAAGGAGAAGAATGTGGAAAGAATAACCAATTTGATGTAATTTATAAGAGCTACCGGGAGGGGTGAAGGGAAGTCGTTTGATTGGCTAAAAGCGGAGCCGTATCCAACAGCCAATAGAAAAACAGAAAGCCGCCTCTTGGTTTGCATCCTGCCCTGAAAGGAAATGACGGATTTCGTAAGTATCTACCAATCGCTGAGAGCCACATTAAAGCCCCTTATTTGCATGGCAGGCTCTTTAAAGAGAGTAGGCTTTCAAACAAAATGTCTTGTACTATGGGGTTTTGCTTTGCTTTGTTTAGTTTACAGCCGGTGAATCCCAACATGGACCCTAAGAAACTGCAGAAGACATCCGTAGACTGAGAGTTACTCTCACGCAAGAGTAGGGGATTCTGAAGCCGATGATCCCCTTGAGCTCTAAACTACCAAGTCCCGCCCTTTCTGTCTCGTCACAGCCAAATTCCCTTTAAAAATACAAGTACTACTAAGGCTGCCTCCTTTCTCGCCCCTCAACTTAAGTCGCCCGCAGCGACTCCGCCCCACCCCCACCCGCCTGCACTCCTTGGAATTCAGTTTGACCGAGGCTAGATTTGTCATCCTCTTGACCTCCAGGAGGCGGCCTTGAAGCTTACTCCCTTGGCTTTCAAAATGTCGCCCTGCGTTTTTCTTCTTAGCTCGCCGACTTTTCTTATCCTGCTTCCCCATGCCATCTCTAAATCTGCGAGTCCAGCTGGATTCTGCTTCTCTATCTCCAATTCTTCACTTATCCCGAAGAGTCTTACCCATTTATATGCTTTCAACTAACATCCAAATTTGTTTCAGAAGCTCAGACCCTTGTGCCTAACTGCTTACTGAATACTTCAACCTACTACTTGTCCCAACGAGCACCTCAAACTCAAACTCAACCTCAGCTTATTCGAACGCGAACTGATGCAAACAACCTCCCCTCTTTGCCCTCTTCCTGAAATGCGCCAGCATACTTACAGATAACTAAGCCGAAATCTACTCTACTCTTCCCTTCGTCTCAGCATGTCCAGTCAGTTGCTTCCTTAATATCCCTTCAATCTTTTTCTCCATGCTCCCTTGTCCACCTCATCATCATCCCTTAGATTTCAGCAACAGCCGGGAAAGGGTAACTTTGCTGTCAGGCATTAATTGCTGGTGTGACTCCAGCGGCCTTAGAAATCTTTCCTGAAAGCTCTTCTTTTTTTCTTTTATCCCATATAACAGATGAACCTGAAAGCGCTTGTGTTTCTTCCTCCTCAACGTCCCATCTCTGGGAGTTCTACATCTCCTACACCATTCTCACCCTTTCCTTAGTATCCCTTAAGGTCAGGTAGAATAATAGAAAAAATAGACTTGTGGTTTTTTTGTTTTTTTGAGGCGGAGTTTCGCTCTGTCGCCCAGGCTGGAGCACTTCTCAGCTCACTGCAACCTCCACCACCACCTCCTCTACCCCGCCCCCACCCACCCGGGTTCAAGCGATCCTCCCACCTCAGCCTCCCAAGTAGCTGGGATGACAGACACCCAGCACCATGCCCGGCTAATTTTTGTATTTTTAGTAGAGATGGGGTTTCATCTCTACTAATGTTGACCAGGCTAATCTCGAACTCCTGATCTCAAATCTCGAATGTTGGCCAGGCTGGTCTCAAACTCCGACCTCATGATCTGCCCATCTCAACCTCCCAAAGTTCTGGGATTACAGGCGTGAGCCACTGCACCCGGCCAGAAAATAGTTAAATCTTATTCTTTGACACCTTTTCTGATGTTTTCTCCTTTATTCTCACCAGTTTATTCAACTGGCATTTATTGGATGTGTGCTGTTGGGCAATGGGTGTATAGATAATTGAAAGTAGTACAAACAAGTCTGTGATGAAATGCCTCCAGAAAATGGAGGAAATCTGGTGAACTCTGAGAGTTAAATTAGTTAAAATCAGCTACGTATAGAGATTACTCCTGGTAAGAATGCTGGTATAGATTTGGGAAACACCAAAGTTCAGACAGAGGTGACCAGGGTGTAACCTAAGATCCTTCTAATCCAATTGATTATATCATTTGAGAAGATGAATGTTAACAGAAAGGTGCAGTCTACATAGAGTCCAAACAGGTGCAATTGTAGTAGAAATATGTTATGTTTTCACCAACAATAAAATATATCTGGCAGAGGCAGAGTCTGGCCTACTAGAAAAGGGTCCTTGGTTATGAAAGCATCAGCCTTTTTTCACAGCCTGGGTGAAATATTTCTGAAGACTATCCAAGTTCCTTCATTCAGATTCTGTACTCAATTAACAACTTTCTGATTGTTCTATTCCAAGATAAACACATAAGACTGAAGTAGGGGGAGCCAGTTATAGAAAGATGTTCATCATTGAATTCAATGAATTTGCATTTTGGACTATTCATAAATTTCGTGTGTACTTTGTTAGCATGGGTCCCTCCCCAAGAAGCCAGTCAGTCCTGGAAGTTCTAATAGTGTCAACTTTTCAGATCTAAAGGGCTGAGAAAAAAACCCAGATGATAGGGGACCCTACCATAATCCTGGCACCCCATAAGGCCCTGCTTGAGGGGCATGCTGACCTTCCTTTCTTTCTCTGACCTCTTTTTTTTTTTTTTTTTTTTCCCAGACAGAGTCTCACTCTATCACCCAGGCTGGAGTGCAGTGGCAGAATCTCAGCTCACTGCAACCTCTGCTACTTGGGTTTAAGTGATTCTCATGCCTCAGCCAACAAATAGCTGAGATTACAGGCATGCGCCAGCACATCCAGCTAATTTTTGTATTTTCAGTAGAAACAGGGTTTTGCCATGTTGTCCAGGCTGGTCTCGAACTCCCAAAGTGCTGGGATGACAGGTGTGAGCCACTGCGCCGACTTGACCTCTGATTTCATTTTTACTTATATCACAGTGCTCTGTGCCATAAGAAGGATGAAAGAAAAAAAAAGATTATGTTGAAACCCTACTATGATAAACCCTACAGTAGCAACTGCCTACAAAGTAGATAAAATTATGTGTTTCACAAATAAACTGAAGCTCACAGGGATTAAAACAATTGCTGGGCTGGGTGTGGTGGCTCACGCCTGTAATCCCAGCACTTTGGGAGACCAAGGCAGATGGCTTTTACCCAGGAGTTTGAGACCAGCCTGGGCAACATGGCGAAACCCCATCTCTACAAAAAATACAAAAATTAACTGAGTGTGGTGGGGCACACACTTGTGACCTGTGGTCTCAGCTACTTGGGAGGCTGAGGTTGGAGGATTACTGGAGCCCAGAAGGCACAGGTTGCAGTGAGCCGAAACAGTGCCACTGCACTCCAGCCTGGGCGACACAGCAAGACTCTATCTCAAAAAAAAAAAAAAAAAAATTGCTAAAGGTCACACAGCCACATGATTAGAGTCTAGGTCTGCCTGACTCAAAGAACATGCTCCTCACGATGTCATTCACACTCTCACTAACTAGATGTTGGGCTTAATGAAGTCATTTAATTTATCCAGCCATTGTTTCTTCCTCTGTACAAAAAAAAGAAGAAAGAATTATTAGAGGAGAACTTCCCTACTCCCACACAAATATCCTTGCTGTGCCCACATCTCTTTGTTCATATCCTGGTGACAGCACTCACCATTCGGTACTGTGCTTTTTTTTTTTTTTTTTGAGATGGAGTTTCGCTCTGTCGCCTAGACTGGAGTGCAATGGCACGATCTCCGCCCACTGCAGCCTCTGCCTCCCAGGTTCAAGAGATTCTCCTGCCTCAGTCTCCCAAGTAGCTGGGATTACAGGAATGTGCCACCATACTTGGCTAATTTTTGTATTTTTAGTAGAAGTGGGGTTTCACTGGATTTGCAAACTGCAAGGTCCTAACAAAAGTAAGTCCTATAGATGCCATCTTTGTAGCAGCTTTCTAATCAATTTACTTCTCTCTAGCCCATCTTGTGCCTTCGCTCAGGTTATCTTTCACCCAGACTACCAACAAAGACTTTTCTGCTCCTCTTCCTGCTTCTACTCTTCCCACTCCTCACTAGAGTGGCCTTTCTAATAAACATTCTGATTCTTTTCTCATCATCTACTCTCTCCCCAGGTGATCACATACCACACCTCAGCCCCACCCCCATGATCTCATTTTATCTTCAACAACCCCTAAGAGATGTCTCAAATGTACTTCTCAGATGCTAAAATTAGTGGGAAAAAAATTAATGGAGAAATAGGAAAGTAGATAGACTTAAAGTATCTTCCACAATTACAGACAGAAAAGGAATTTTATAGTGGAAAAGCCTGACAGATACCATCTTAATCAAATGATCAGAATTATCACTAGTAATAAGAAAAATAAAGATCACGTGCCCTGGTAAGTTTCACAGAGAAGAATTCAACATTACTTCTGCAGTATTCTGGCCGAAAAACGCATGTGCTAAATTTTAATCATAAAGAAACATCAGACAAACCCAGATTGAGGGACATTCTACAAAATAAATGTTTGTAACTTCAAAACTGCCAAAGTCATGAAAGAAAGAAAATCTAGGAAACTATTCCAAGTTAATGGAGAACAAAGAGATACAACAACTGAATGCAACATGTGATCTTAGATTGGATCCTGGACCAGAAAATATTTCTTTTCATTTTATATATAGGATAGAAGTGAACAATTGGCAAATTTTGAATAAGGTCTGTAGATTAGATAATAGTACTGTATCTATGTTAATTTCTAGAGTCTGACAGTTATATTCTGGTTATGTGAGAAAATGTCTTTTTTTTTAAGTAAATATACATTAGTCAGGATTCTCCAGGGAAACAGAACCAATAGTAGATAGATTGATAGATTGACAGACAGTTTTATTATAAAAAATTGGCTTTTTGATTATGGAAGCTAATAAATCCCAAGATCCCCGAGATCTTCAGGGTAAGCTGGCAAGCTGGAGACCCAAGAAAGGTGATGATATAGTTCCAGTCCAAATCCAAAGGCCTGCGAACCAATGGTGTAGTTCCAGTCCAAAGGCCGAGTCTAAGACCCAGATGGAGCCAGTGTTTACTTCTGAGTCTGAAGGCTGGGAAAAGCCAACGTCCCGGTCTCAAAGCAGTCAGGCAGAAGGAAGTCTCTCTTACTCAGGAGAGGGTCCGTCTTTTTGTTCTAGTCAAGCTTTCAACTGGTTGGATGGGACCCACCTACATTAGGGAGGGCAATTTACTCCGTCTACCAATTCAAATGTTAATTTCATTCAAAATACCCTCACAGAAACACCCAAATTTTGCCAAATATCTGAGCACCAATCTTCTAGAAGTTGGCACATTAACCATCACAGGCCGGGCGTAGTGGCTCACGCTTGTAATCCCAGCACTTTAGGAGGCTGAGGTGGGCAGATCACCTGAGGTCGGGAGTTCGAGACCACCCTGGCCAACATGGTGAAACCCCCTCTCCACTAAAAATATAAAAATTAGCCAGGCGCCGTGGCCCATGCCTGTAATCCCATCACTTTGGGAGGCTGAGGCAGGCGGATCACTTGAGGTCAGGAGTTCCAGGGCAGGAGGATCACTTGAGGTCAGGAGTTCCAGACCAGCCTGGCCAACATAGTGAAACCCCATCTCTACTAGAAATACAAAAAAATTTAGCCGAGTGTGGTGGCACCCGCCTGTAGTCCCAGCTACTCAGGAGGCTGAGGCAGGAGAATCACTTGAACCCAGAAAGTGGAGGTTGCAGTAGGCCAAGATGGCGCCACTGCACTCCAGTCTGGGTGACAAGAGTGAGATTCCATTTAAAAAAAAAAAAAGAATTTTGGGCCAGGCACAGTGGATCACGCCTGTAATCCTGGTAATCCTGGGTGGCCGAGGAGGGCGGATCACCTGAGGTTGGGAGTTCCAGACCAGCCCGATCAACATGGAGAAACCCCGTCTCTACTAAAAATACAAAATTAGCTGGGCATGGTGGCACATGTCTGTAATCCCAGTTACTCAGGAGACTGAGGCAGGAGACTTGCTTGAACCCAGGAGGCAGAGGTTGCAGTGAGCCGAGATCATGCCATTGCACTCCAGCCTGGGCAACAAAAGCAAAACTCCGTCTAAAAAAAAAAAAAAAAAAAAGAATTTTGCACCTAACTCAAGTGAGTCAGCAGAAATTATTATTATTATTTCATTATTATTATACACACATACATTAAAAGAGAGATACAAAGACAAGTCTGGCAAAATGTTATCAGTGAATCTAGGTGAATAGTGGATAAATGGGTTGCTCATTCTATTAATCTTGCAACTTTTCTGGAAGTTTTAAATTTTTTTTAAAGGCTAGGGAAAACAGTGTATGTCATAGGTTAAATTTCTTGAGTGTGATAAGGATATTGTGGTTATGTGGGAGAATATCTTTGTTCTTAGGAGATACATGTTGGAGTAGTTAGGGGTGAAATGTCATGCTACCTGCAACTTATTTTCAAATTGTTCATCCAAAAAAGTACATAAATATATTTTAAAGTATATGTAAAGTACTTAAATATATGAGTATATATGTACAAGTATAAAATAAATATAAATGTAAAAAATAGTGGGCCAAGTGAAAGGTAGAGGGTGTTGCTTTGAACTATTCAACTTTTCTATGGCTTTGACGTTTTTCAAAATGAGAAGTTGCGGGAAAACATTTAGAAATATGTAAATATATTAAGGATACAAAATAAAATTTAAATAAATTTAAAAGTTAAGAATCGCCAAGTGCGGTGGCTCACACCTGTAATCCCAGCTCTCAAAGAGGCAGAGTCAGGAGGATAGTTTGAGCCCAGAAGTTCAAGACCTGCCTAGGCAATATAGCGAGACCCCATTCTCCACAAAAAGGAAGAAAAAACAAAGACAAAAATATATATATAAGCGTAAAAGTTAAGAATCATCCTGGAAAAATTACATCCTGTTACATCCCTGCTTAAAACCTCAGTAGCTTCCCACTACTTCTAGGATAAAGACAAAATTGCCTAACAAGGGCTACAAAGCCTTGGGAGGTCTGGGCCCTTCCTCTCCTCCCGGTACCCTACTCATCACCATCACCTGCCCCCTAGGCTCCAACCACATATAACCACACCCTAACTACACCAGAAAGACTCCCTCAAAATTCTCTCTCCTCTTGTCCTTTACACATGTGGCTACCACAGCCAGAACCTCACTATGAGGGACTGAGAAATGGATTTTCATGTTGTTTCTGCCAAACTGTTTCCCTAAATCTCGGAAATATTCTCTGCCCGCCCCTCATTCCACCTCTCCAACCCCGGCCAAGTTTGGGTAACTTGCCTCCGTAGCATCCTGTGTTTATCTCATGGTAGCACTTAGTACCCAGTACTGCAATTGTCCGCTCACTTGTTAGTCTTCAGTGCTCTGTGAACTCCTGGAAGACAGGGTCTGACTTGACTCTCCAGTCCCCAGCACTAGTCTGGGGCACAGTAATTATGTATTCAATCAGACTTCCATTTTCTTGTATATAAAATAAAGGAATCGGGCTAGATGATCTACAATATCTATTGGCAGTAAAATAGATCTAATAATCCCAACCCCAGCTGCGCGTGAAATCCCTTTTTCTTCGCGTTGCTGGGTTCAGAGTTTCTGACGACCTTACCGGCGGGGAGAATCCGAGACTACAGTTCCCATGATCCCTTAGGGCACCATGTGGTGCCTGCCCGTCCTGCTAACGCACAGCAAGGACTCCATTTCCCAGCGTGCCTCAGGAAGGGCGCCAGGACTGCGTTTTGCTCCGGAGCGTCCGGAGTCCTGGCCTTGAGCGGGAATCGCAGTATCCGAGGCTGAGCGGCAGGTAAAAGGGGCTTCTTCTGGCCTTCACAGGGATCACAGGGGCTTCGGCCTAACCACAAGTACGCAGTTGCACATGCCCTACATTTGCCCATTCTTTGCAAATCCCCTAAGGAACGAACGCGCCTCGCTTGCAGGCCTTTCTAATCTCCGCTTGGTCCCTCCACTCCCACAGCTGGAGGTCGAATTCACCGTGTCACGTAGAGAAAAGGGGCGGTGTCTCGGGTCTCCCCGTGTGGCTTCAAGGCGGTCTCCTGACAGAAGCTGGTGTGGACATCTGGGCGTGGGGTTAGAGTGGATGCGGGGGTCGCGGGGCGGGTGTTGACACTGTGCTCTCACCAGGCGGATCATCTCTACCCTCACTCCTGGTGTCTGTGTCTCTGGCGCAGCCGATGCTGAGTGGGCGCCTGGTCCCAGGTCTGGTCTCCATGGCTGGCCGGGTCTGTTTGTCCCGGGGCAGCGCGGGATCCGGGGCCATCGGTCCAGTGGAGGCCGCCATTCGCACCAAGTTGGAGCAGGCCCTGAGCCCCGAGGTGCTGGAGCTTCGCAACGAGAGCGGTGGCCACGCGGTCCCGCCTGGCAGTGAGACGCACTTCCGCGTGGCTGTGGTGAGCTCTCGTTTCGAGGGACTGAGCCCCCTACAACGACACCGGCTGGTCCACGCAGCACTGGCGGAGGAGCTGGCAGGGCCGGTCCATGCACTGGCCATCCAGGCACGGACCCCTGCCCAGTGGAGAGAGAACTCTCAGCTGGACACTAGCCCCCCATGCCTGGGTGGGAACAAGAAAGCTCTAGGAACCCCTTGAACCCTAAGAAAGGGGGAGGACCAAGATCCGAATGGGCTGAGTGAGCACGAACTACTGAGGCCTTCCCTTCGATCCAGTCCAGCATTTGTAAGGGATGAAGATCCCTGAGCCCTATTCTGTTGGGGTCCATACATATTCTCCAAAGATAGCAACTTGCTTCAGGTCAAAGTGAACCCAAGAAAAGAGAAGAATCACTCACTACTGCTCTTGCCCTGGACTATTCAGGAAGGGCAACCCAGATGTTTCATGTTAAATCGTGACAGAACTGCACCAAACCTGATGAGTTGGAAACAATCCTATACATTAAAAGAAATTACACTATGAGGCTGTGTTCTTAATGGACTGCTGAATCAGTGCCATAGGTGTTCTTGGGAGAAGAAAGATACCTGTAGACTAGTCGGGAACGGCTTTATGAGGGAAGTGATCTACTTGGGTCTTTAAAGGAAAGCACAAAATTAACCAGAAAGGAGAGGATAGGTGCTGCAGGCAGGGAGAAGAACCTGAGCAAAGGCATAGACACTGGACTGAGCAGTGAGTTAATGGACAAGACAGGCGATATAGGCAGGGACACATTTGAACTTCATCTCAGGGGAATGTTTGCCTTTTTTACAGCCTGTCCATTTCCAAAAAGTAGTACTTGTATTTGTTTAAAAGAAAAATGTTTTTAAAAACCACTAAAGCAGTGAAAAGAGAATAAGAACTAAGAAAATGATCACAGATGATGGAGAAACCTTTATATAGCCCTTTTTTTTTTTTTTTTTTTTTTGAGACGGAGCTTCGCTGTTGTCACCCAGGCTGCAGTGCAGTGGCGCAATCTCGGCTCACTGCAACCTCTGCCTCCTGGGTTCAAGTGATTCTCCTGCCTCAGCCTCCCCAGTAGCTGGGATAACAGGCATGCACCACCACGTCCAGCTATTTTTTGTATTTTTAGTAGAGATGGGGTTTCACCATGTTGACCAGGATGGTCTCAAACTTCTGACCTCAGGTGATCCTCCTGCCTCAGCCTCCCAAGGTGTTGGGATTACAGGTGTGAGCCACCACCCCTAGTGTTTTTTTGTTTGTTTCTTTAAGATAGAGTCTCTGTTGCCCAGGCTGCAGTGCAGTGGCACGATCACAGCTCACTGCAACCTCCACCTCCCAGGTTTAAGTTCTCCTGCCTCAGCCTCCCAAGTAGCTGGGACTAGAGGCTTGTGCCACCACACCCGTCTAATTTTTTGTATTTTAATAGAGACAGGGTTTCACCATGTTGCCCAGGCTGGTCTTAGACTCCTGAGCTCAGGCACTCTGCCCACCGCCTCCCAAGGTGCTAGGATTACAGGTGTAAGCCACCATGCCCCACAATGTAGCCCTTTTTGAGCATTACAAATGTCATATTTCTGAGGGGAGCTCAAGTAATGTCTATAGAAGCAACTTTCTAATAATCTCAATGTGGAAATTATTAGAGAACAAAACTTGGTTAACATATATCTTTTTTTTTTTTTTTTTTTTTAGACAGAGTTTTGCTCTTGTTGCCCAGGCTGGAGTGCAATGGCCTGATCTCAGCTCACTGCAACCTCCGTCTCCCAGGTTCAAGCAATTCTCCTGTCTCAGCCTCCTGACTAGCTGGGATTACAGGTGCCTGCCACCATGCCCGGCTAATTTTTGTATTTTTAGTGAAGACAAGGTTTCATCATATTGGTCAGGCTGGTCTCAAACTCCTGACCTCAAGCGATCCGCCTGCGTCAACCTCCCAAAGTGCTGGGATTACAGGCATGAGCCACCACGCCCGGCCCGGTTAACATATATCTTGATCATTTCTAGCTAAAGAATTTAAGGTGCATGTGGTTGGGCAGTAGGGAGTTATTAACGAATTTTGAGTACAGACATGCCAGAGAGCATTTGGGGTCAGATGGATCTGGCAGTGATGTGTAAGTGAGTTGGCATGGGAGATTGGAGGAAAAGAGATCAATCCAGAGTGAAGGTAGAACCCTGATTTACAGGTCATCTGTGGGAATGGAAAGGAAGGAGTTGATTTGAGAGCTACCATAAAATCAGAAAATGGTTTGATTAGAACAGAAATGGACTAGAGTGAGAGGGGAGTCAAGGTAACCCCAAGGCAGTGGTTTTCAGATTTTCTCTTAGGTAAGAACTCCCATGGGAGATTGTTCAAAATGTAGCTTCTGGCCGGGCGTGGTGGCTCACACTTGTAATCCCAGCACTTTGGGAGGCCGTGGTGGGCGGATCACCTGAGGTCAGGAGTTCGAGACCATCCTGGCCCCATATCTACAAAAATTAGCCGGGTGTGGTGGCAGGCGCCAACCACACTTAGGAAGCTGAGGCAGGAGAATCGCTTGAACCCGAGAGGCAGAGGTTGCAGTGAGCTGAGATCACACCATTGCACTCCAGGCTGAGCAACAAAGCGAGACTCTGTCTCAAAAAAAGGAGATTCAAGGTCCCCATCCTTCCAAACCAAGAAAAAAAAAGGGTTCTAATTCTACAAGTCAAGAGTGGAGTCTGGAGTCTGTATTTTTAAAAAGCATAACAGAAGATTTAGGGGAAAGTTGGTTCTATTCTTGTGAAATGTTACTCCCAAAGTTTTCAAATCTGGGAGACTTAGAGGGCCTTCCATCTGTAGGGGAAAGATCAAGGTAGAGAGGCCAATTTAGGAAATAAAGCTGGTACACCATGTTATTCTGACCTTCAGTTTGGAAAGCTGTTTTTCCATCTCACCATTTTACCCTCCAAGGCTGTTAGGAGAATTGGATGTAGGTGGAGAGTCACAGAAGCAGGTATAGCCATTTTGTATTTTGAGGATTTGTTTCCGTTTTATTTTTCATCAATATTTTTCATTGCATTTTTCACATCAACAGAGTTGGGTTTGGGGTTCCCCAGGAGAGCAAGGGAGATGGATGGGTCCCTCCCAGGGGTGCAAGGAAGAGGGCTACGTCCAGCATGTGAGGAGTGAGGGACAAGGGCACAGGGCACACATTCATACACTGGGCACTGGAGGAGAAGGCAGTCTTTTGAGCACAGACACCAAAGAGTTAAACAGTCACCACCTGGTACAGTGTTACAAAATGGGGGGAGTGACCACAGGGTTGGGGTACTGGACGCAGCATGACGAAGGTGAATTTTGATTTTCTTTTTTGTTATTTTCACTTTTTTCCTTTTTAACTTTTTTAAAACATTTTACAAACATCTAAAAACTACAACACATCACAGCTACAGTGGGGTGAGGGGAGGGCACCAAAGAAAGCAGCCACACAGAGTAGGGTGGGACGGGGCAGCCTAACCTACAGAGGCTATTGTGTGGAAGGGTAAAATGGGGAAACTGAGGCTTCTAGTCCCTGCGTTAGGGGTCCCTCACTCACTGCCCAACCTCTCCCCACTCAGAGGAGCTGCCAGGAGGGCCCCTGCTTCTTGCCTCTGCCCCAGCTCCTTGTGCTTTTTGATGTGCTGGTTTGACCAGATGCCTGGTTTCGTTCCCTCCCCTGCTCCCCTGCCTGTGAGGGGACAGGTCCGGGGTATGGGAGGGCAGCTGTGCTGTTCCCACCTGTGCTATAGTGGGTGGAGCCTCTCACTCCAGAGGAGGCCTGTGCTTCTTAAGGAGGGAAGCAGATGAGCCTTGTCAGATGCCCTCAGATCTCCCGAGACTGTGGGTCTCTTATCCCTGGCTGGCCTAGGGCTCCTCCATCCCAGGCTCAACACAGAAACCAGATTAGGGGAGGGACTATGGGAGGCAGGGTTGTGTGTGCGTCCGCTGAAGTTAACCCTTGGCTTATATTTGAGGACAGTATAGTGATACCCCCCGCCCCATGGCACATGCACACACATATATAAGTATACACACACATTCACACACAGTCCTGCAGAGCTGCCTCAGAACTTAATCTATTAATAAATAAGAATCGGAAAGCTAATTTCATACAATTCAGGCTTCATATTTGCAGCCCAAATTGAGAGGGAAGTGGAGGCCAGAGGGCTGAGGTTTATTGCTTCTCCCTCAGCATCCAACAGGAGGTGTGAGAGGGCACCCGAGGCCCACCCTTCAGACTCAGAAGTTCTTTTGGTCCATGGTCTACACCAGAGTCCCAGCCCCCATCATAATTGCATACCTGTGGTTTCACCAGGGCCTAGGCAGAGGGAATGATGGGGAAGACAGGAAGCCTATTCTGGAACCCCTGGAACAGGGAAGCAAGGGCCCCTCTCTAACAGGGAGAGAAGGATGGGGCTCAGCCTTCTCTTGTGCAAAGTCAAGGTAGTGGGAAGTGGGGAGTACAGCTTCATCTCAAAACTGGGATGAAGGAGCCTTCCCTGTAGTCCCTGCCCACGGGGGTCACACACATGCACACTCACACACACACACAGCTAAGACACCAAACACAGGGAGGGGGGAGTGAGGGCTCTGGAAGTCAGGATGGCAGGGCAGGGAGGGGAAGGAAGGAGTTGTTGGTCTCACAGTGTGCCTGCCAATCCCAAAGCCCTACAGATCCCTTCACTGCAGCACCTGCCCCCGGGTCTCAGGCAGCTTCAGGGCCAGAGAGCTGCCAAGGGCAAGGGCAGCTGAGGCAAAGAGGATGGGGGCCGCCTTGGTGATTCCCACGAAGGATGTGAAGATGCTGATCCCCAGCACAGCTGCCAGCTTACACAGGGCATTCAGGAAGCCGAAAGCTGTGGTCCTGCTCAGGAGTCCCCCAGTGCAGCATGGCGCAAGGTACAGGAAGGAGGCAAAGGAAGAGTGGAGGGCAGGGAAGTGAAGGCCAGGAAGATGCAGGCAGTGTCCAAGAAGGAGACAGAAGGTTGGAGAGATCAGAGAGGTAAAGGATGTACGCCAGGAATGTAGATAAATTAAGAGACAAGGGGAAAGGAGACCAAAAATTAGGTTAACAGTTAAGGCTTCGAGGAGTAGATACAAAAGCTACCAGATTTTTTCTTTTCTCTTTTTCTTTTTTTTTTCTTTTTTTTTTTTTTTTTTTTTTTTTTTTTTTTTTTTTTTTTTTTGAGACAGAGTCTCGCTCTGTTGCCCGGGCTGGAGTGCAGTGGCGTGATCTCGGCTCACTGAGAGCTCCGCCTCCCGGGTTCACGCCATTCTCCCGCCTTAGCTTCCCGAGTAGCTGGAATTACAGGTACCCGGCTAACTTTCTGTATTTTTAGTACAGACAGGGTTTCACCATGTTGGCCAGGCTGGTACCAAACTCCTGACCTCAGGTGATCCGCCTGCCTCGGCATCCCAAAGCACTGGGATTACAGACAGGCGTGAGTCACTGCGCCCGGCCAAAGCTACCAGATTTTAGAGGAGAAAATGGAAATGTATCTTCCTTCACCCCTAAGGATGCTCTTCCCAT